ATATATATGGAATCAGCCTAAATTAAAGTGAAAATATTTAGTCTCTTGTAGCTCAGATAAGTCAGTAATTGTTTGGAAAAAACAAAATAATATATGGAAATATTTTTAAAAAATAACTCATAATAGTTATGCATATCGAATAACTTTCGTTTATGATGACTCCTTTTTATTTTAGCTGAATTATGAAGGATTTATAAGATTGTATTCGAACTAGTCTCAAGAATAATTTCAAGAGAACCTGAAATAGCGAATTACTGTTTAAGATAAAGCAGACCCTTGGTTGCTTTTTCCAGCATTTTATAATGTTGAAAAAAAACTCGTTATTCAAAAATAAAACCAATTTGTGAATCTTATTATTAATTAAGACAATGGTACTTTGGCTATTGTTAATACTATACAATGTGAAAGTCATTAAAATAACGGTGGACTTTCGAAAAGCGGAAGGTTCCTTGCAATTTGGGACAGTTCACCAATAATGGAAGGTGATGGGATAATTAAAATTTATGAAGTATTATATTCGAATAGAGAATGATAAATTAAATTTGTTATTAATTAATTCAATTCATAATACTTAATGGCTTAGAATTAACTAAAATCGAAAGCGTGGTTCAGAATATACACATGTTAATGTAATTTCAATTTTATATCATCATTTTTATTAGTCCGCAATAATATATATATTTAATGGATTTACTTTCAAATTATTTGTCTTATTTTATCATGTAATTAGTTCATTCATACTCTTATAAATTACTCTGATTGATCTAATTTATATTTTAATCTCATTCTATAGTGAGTTTACTTATTAGCAAAAAGAAAGATTTTCGATATGCATTGAAATTGGCAAAAGTCATTTAACAATTAGGACTAGTAAATATTGAGACAAATAGAGATTGTTTAACTAGTGCAATTAATTTTAATGGCTTTCTGCTTTCTCGAGGTTCTTAATTAGATGATAGGAGTAATGAATTGAAGAACAGCAATACAGTGAAGTTCCCAATGAATTTAATAATTTAAAATGAAAAACTAGTCACCCTTTGTGAATGTATTTAAATTATAAATTTTAAGGAGCCCAAGAATATTGACTGAGGCTTAGGGGCACAGATACAGTGATTAATGATATTAATTGCTCCTTCATTATTCGTAGCATTACTCTTGGCAAATTAAATAATTGTTTCTTTGAAGGGATACTATATTTTTTAATAGCAAAATATAGTGCAGATCAGCCGATGTTTCCAGTGCAATTTGGTGAGATTTTATATTTGAGCGCACATTTTCGATTAACTGTATCGACCAACTCATCATTATACTGCTACTATCAGCGATCTATGATGCCGGTTAATAATTAGCTCATTTTAAGGATGTTTAAAAAGGCCAATTTTTTTGTTCAAATTATATTGATTCTATAAATTTGTAATTGTTGTTGCTTTTGAAAATTGAAATATTCAAAATATAGCAGCAATTAACGAAACTAGACCAAAAATTAATACTACAACTGTATTAAATAATTCTAATTTAGGATATAATTTAGAAGTCCAACAGTGATTTGTTTATTTAATTTCATGGATTAATAATTAAAAGTTATCTTCAGCTTTATTTTATTTCAATACCATAATTTCTAATTCCTCATAAAAGCTTTAATGAGATATTATGATCCTATTATTATAAATTCTAAATCCACTCCTTTATTAAAGTAATCTATTAGTCAAATTATGAGATTGCAAGTGACTTCATTTGATTGACAATGCTGTGCAATTATTCAATCAATTTAATTTAGTTGACTATTATATCTTCTACTTATTCTAACTATTTTATTTAGCCTTCTTCAATTAATGAAATAATTAACTTTTATCCAACTATTTTACCATCTAAATCTGTATTATCATTTTTGTTTTAAACATTTAATAAAAATAATATATATTTTATTGATTAAGTTCCAATAGAATATAAACCTAAAGATGACAGTAAATGTTGTTCATTCTCAAAAAAGTTTGTAAAGGGATTTTATTTTAACGGCAACTTGGTTCGATTTCAAAATTAATTATGATTAACGCTTATTGCTAATATATAATCTCAATACTTCTATAACATAAGTGCTTATTTTAATTCTGAAATTATTTATCAAACCACAAAATAACAAAGATATCATTTATTTACTTTAGAGCAAACGTTATCGGCTGGGATCTTGATTTTTTAGTTGTTAAAAGGGCATTTGAAATTCTTTTTTTTTGGATAAATTCTAATAATGGAAAAACGATCAACTCCTCCAAGTATTTGTATTTATGATACTAACAATCTAAAATATTGCTTCTAAATTTGATTTTCCCATCACACACTTAAAAGCACTAAATTAATTAATCTATTTACAATAATTTATTATAATTAGATTTTTAATCAAATGTGCGTTGATGTTAAAGATTCTCATCAATATTCAGAGCTTTTAGAAGTATTCATTTGATGATGCTGGACTTAGCGTTTTGTATGGCTATCAAATATATTAATTTGAGTAAATTTTTTCAGATAAATTATACCAGTTTATTGTATTTGTAATTTTGGTTCGAACGGAATCCCTGTTATTTATTTATTTGAGTAAAATAATAAAATAAACTACGATATTCCTTTAATTGAGTGCACTTATTTAATTTCAAATTTCTGAAACAGCTGGAACTTTGGGTAGAGCCATTTTAAAATACAAAAGAAATTTACAAGTGTTGGAACAATAGCACAATTTTAATATCTTAACGAGTTCAAAGAATTATATAACCTTATAACCCAATAATTTATGGTTCCCCTCATCATTTGAACCTATAAGGTTATAACTATCTTTGATCCTAGTATAAATAAAGCTAGCCAAGAGTATCAATATTAATTTTTAATGAGGTTCTTCTCTTAAAGTGTTTGCTTGAGTGAAGATGATATCGAAATTCAGTGACCATGATTGCGGCGTCTAGATAAAGCCTAATTATTATTGATCACAATTTCTTCAGTTAACTATCAATTTTACTCCTATGATTACAAATTGAAAGTTTTATTAAGGAAATAGTTAAAAAGGCTGCAATATAATTAAAAGTTTGATTAAATTTTCATTTTTACTACACTTTCATATTTTATATATAGAAAGTATCTTAATTTTAAACAGTTGAGACTTATAATTTGTTTATCAATAAATTCCTAAATCTTAAAGTAATTCTTTTGTTATATACTTTTTAAGCATAAATACCATAAAAAATATATGACCCAATTATTTTTCATTTTATATAATAATTTCAATTTACTAATTTATTTTAAACAATAACAACTGTGCTAATTATAACAAATGGACTAAGTTGTGTTTATCGATATTTAACCTTAGTTTAAGTGAACCAAAAATAAACTGATTAAGTAGTACAAAAAAACCAAATTTTAAATCTTAGATATCCGATTTTCATTTGCCTATCAGATAATTTTTTCCAAAAAGTATCTATTAAATTTTTAAATTATTTCAAATAATACAATCAAAATGTCATATTTAAAATATTAAAAGAGAAAAAAAACACTTGCAATAAACTGTTTTTACTTTTAGTCATCTTAATGGATAGATACTATAAAGAGAGTGAATTTATGTCAAATTCAATATTTTGTTTTTGATTTTAAAAAGGTGTTAAAGTGATTTAGTAACTATTTCTAAAGATATGTACTGTACAATTAAACCAGTGAAATTAATCTATGAAATAACCTAAATCCATTTTCTAAGAAATCTAATGTGTAGTGGAAGTTATTTTATTGAGATGAGTTTATATATTTGGAATCATAGGAATATACTCTATGGATAGTAAAATATATTTTTTTTTGAGGAGAAATTGTACTCAACAATCTAAAAATATGAAAGTATAGGGTATAGAGTATAGTTGATATAATGAGAATACGTGATGTGACATATTTGGAATCATAAGAATGAGATCTTTATATTTATGTCTAATATAACATATTTTAATGACAAATAAAGGTAGTGATTTTTCCATTTTAACACTTTGGATTGATATTATAAATACTTATGATGTGTGTATGATATTTCTGTACTCTTAATCCCATAATGAGATCTATCTAATAGTTTAATTGTCTATATATTTTATCCACTAGAAAAGGTACTGATATTTCCATTTTTTGATGAAAGTATAGTATTTATTATTAATATTTAAGATGTAAGAATGATATTTATATATTTGAAATCCAGAGAACGATGATCTATCTATTGATGTATAAATTATTATATTTTATGCAGTAAAAAATGGAACTAACAATCTGAAATTTCTGTTTTAAATGTATTAGTTAATATTGTAAGTATAAATAAAGCTCAATTTAGCCAAAAATGCTTCAACTAATGTATTTTATTAAGCGCACAGATTATACTCTCCTCATGAATCCATCATAATTGCGCCTAAAGATAACCCCTGACAAGTTTGTTTTTCAAATATCCATCTAATTATATCCTTGAAAACTTACCTAAAATATCTAAAGCAACTACTTTCCCCTTTTAATGCCAGTCCTATCATTTCTCTCCTTGT